AGTCCTTAATCTCTCCACGTGAAATTACATTGAATTTGATATATCAACTAATCAAATGTTTCAGTACTTAAGAAAAATTTAAAGCATTGTTGGTACGCTAGAGAAAATGACAGCAAAGGCGTGGAAAATAACTTAGGGGTCGTTTGCAGGGGCAGCTCGACAGTGTTAAAAAAAAGACATGTGCCTTAGGCCCCCAAATTTAAGGGGCCTCATTTTTAATAATAATAGGTTATAAGTTATTATTTTTTAAAGGCGGAATGACCTGAAAGACCTGAAAGACCCTTATACTTGACTCCGTTTGTCACCTAGACCCTTCTACTCACGACTTTGCCAACTGAACACTTAAAGTTATTAAAAAACATTATTTTAAACCCCTTTGACCGTTGACTAAGCTTATGTGGTGTTTTTTGCTGAATTAGATCAAGAGAGTGGTTACACGCGTTTAAAAGCAAGTGAAGACAACTATTTTAAAAAAAATTTAAAAATAATTAAAAGAAAAATATAACAATTAAAAAAAAAACCCTTTCCCAATATGCTATACGTTTCTTCTTCTTCCTCCTCATAATCCCACTCAACCCCCACCATCACCACACACACATCTTCTTCAATCTCTTCCAATACTCTTACCCACAATTCTTCCTCTTCTCATATGCTACCTATCATTTGAGAGTTCTATAATGATTGAGAAAAAAATATTTATTAAGATTTGGATAAAAGAGAGGGGAGGAAAAGAGGTTCTAAATTGTGAAATAGATGCGGATTTTAGATGGGTTTTTGAAAGACATATTTGAGATTCTTTCTAAATGTAAGACAATTTTATTAAGAGCATTTTTGAAGAGTTTTCTATAATGACCCATTTTTTGTCTCCTTCTCTTCTTTCTCTCATCCTCCATTTGAGTCACTTTATTTCTCATCACCATTAAAATAGCAAAATTTATAATAAAAAACATAACAAAGCTTTGCTTATCTCTAATTCTTCTTCAACTTAAAAAATTCTCTAGAAAAGAAAAAAAATGAATGATTAGTAGCAAAATAGATGGAAAATATGGGAAGAGAAGAAAAAATGGAAAGAAATCAAGAAAGATAGGATTTTGGAAATTAGTTTGAAATTTCTTTTAAAAAAATATTATTTGTAATAAAAAAAATGATGTGGCAATATATTTCTAATGTGGATAGTGAGGTGTTATCTGCATCAGTGCGATTGGGAGACACACATGATCAGATAGGTTTAAAATACTATATTTTAATAACTTTAAGTGTTCAATTGGCAAAATGTGAGTAGAAGGATTCAGGTGACAAACGGAGTCAAGTACAAGGGTCTCCCAGGTCATTTCGCCTTTTTTTAACAAATATTAAATATTATTTGTAGAAAAAGTAAATTTTTCATGAAAAATGAAGGAATATTAGAAGAAATTTGACATATTTGGAGTACTATATCTCATGAAAAAATAATTTAAAACAAGAATGGTTATATTATCAATTGAAAACTAGAAGAAATCAATTATATAAAAGTTATTAACAATTTAAGTTTAAGGCCCCGTTTGATTTTTGCTTTAGGCCATTAATATGCTTGAGCCGTCCCTAGTCGTTTGGTTGCTAGTTAAAGTCAGTTAGGTATTAGTAATATAAGAATTAGTTATAAGTATGAAAAAAATTATGTTGGGAGCATCACCTCTGAACGACCATGCAGAGCGCAATCCGAATTTAGTCATGCGAATTCCCGAGAAACCAAAAAGCATTCTGTTCGATTTTGTTTGTATTCAGTGTTTCATTTCAATTTGAAGTTTGAAAATTTAGTTTTTTATTTTTAAAAAAAAGTTCTCCTCAAGAAATGTCAATAATTATTTTCAAATAAAATACAGTACTAGCTCACTAGCTCACCAACTTCATGTCGTAACGCGTACAAAAGTGTACCATTTGGCATGTGTATGATTTTGTTACCCTCTCTACGTCCACACGCCATCACTATCACCATTCCCAATGCAAATTTGTCCCTTTGTCTAATGGATATTACTCCCTCCGTCCACAATTGTTTGTCAGGGTAAGGTCATGCACACCCCTCAAGGAAAATTTAATAGAAGGTGTAATTTGACTAATATAACCCTATTATACCAAGAATACCAAAAGTCTACATAACTTTTCAATTGAACTACACTATCATTAAGGGCAGAATTGGATAAATGTGATTAATTGTTTAAATTGATAATTAATTTTGGACATCTATTTTTAGTATACCTGCCAAATAATTGTGGACGGAGGGAGTATTATTATTTCCTTAATAAGAGTTGTGCACAACTCTCCCAAAAATAGGAGAGGATCCATATATCTTTTCCACGTAAAGTTATGTCAAAATGTTAACGCTTTCATATAGATTTAATACAAGTTCATATTTACGTTCAGATTTAATGAAAACAAATAAATAAAATAGGAGTATTTTATAGGGATGAGAACAGCTCTCTATATAAGCTACGAGTGTTTTCATTTCCCCACATTAGAGAAGACGACTGATAAAGTTTATTAGCCATGGATTTCTTTCTAATTGCTGTTACATTAGCTAGCTCCTTTATTGTACTTTTCTTTCTTCACAAACAATTTTTCTCAGCTAAAAAGCAGAGTTGTAGTAGAAAGGTACCTGACGCTGCCGGAGCATGGCCTGTTATCGGCCATCTCCACCTTCTCGGTGGATCTGAATCTGATCAGCTGCCTCACAAAGTGTTGGGTCGCTTGGCAGATAAGTACGGGTCTATTTTCGGAATGAAGCTTGGAGTTCATCAGGTTGTAGTTGTGAGTGATCACAAATTAGCCAAAGAGTGCTTCACAACAAACGATTTAGCCCTAGCGAACCGGCCTAAATCCATGGCTTCAGAGATTATAGGCTACAAACACGCTATGTTTGGACTTTGTTCTTACGGTCCTTACTGGAGAGAAACAAGGAAGATTGCCACAATTGAACTTTTCTCCGCTCGGCGAATCGAGATGCTCAAACACATCAGACAATTTGAGGTAAATTCATCTGTTAAAGAGATTTATAATAATTGGGCGAAGAATAATTTAAATGCTGTTGTGAAGATGGAGATGAAGGAATGGATTGGGGATTTAGTTATGAATACTATGGGGAAAATGTTATTCGGAAAAGGGCGAAGGAGTAATGAGGACGAAGGAATAAATAAGGCTCACAAAGCAATTCGAAGATTTTTCGAATTGTTAGGAGCTTTTGTTGTGGCTGATTTTTTACCTTATTTAAGATGGCTGGACATTGGAGGCCATGAGAAAGCAATGAAGGAGGTTTCTAAAGAAATGGACTCTGTCGTTGAAGAATGGTTAACAGAACACAAAACGAAGAGAGGAATTATTAAATCTGGTGAAGCAGAAGAAGATTTCATGGATGTCATGCTTTCCATTTGTGAAGATAGAGATCTGCCTGGATTTGATGCCGATACCGCTATCAAAGCTACTTGTATGGTACGTTTCTTCTGATCAAATTACTCCGAAATTGTTTCTATATTTGATCTCGTATATGGTTCTGATTGCTGAATTTGTCTTGTTTAGGCTCTGCTATCGGCAGGTACAGACACGACGATCGTAACTCTAACATGGACTTTATCTCTACTACTCAACAACTATCAAGCACTTCAAAAGGCTCAAGATGAGCTAGACGCTCATGTTGGCAAGAACAGATGGGTCCAAGAATCGGATATAAAAAACTTAGTTTACCTTCAAGCTATTGTTAAAGAAGGATTACGTTTATATCCGGCAGCACCACTCTCAGTACCACACGAGTCGATGGAGGATTGTACTATCAGTGGGTATGATATACCAAATGGCACTCGCTTGTTAGTGAACTTATGGAAGATTCATCACGATCCTAATATATGGCCAAATCCTCACGAGTTTAAGCCAGAGAGGTTCTTGTCGACCCACAAGGATGTTGATGTAAAGGGCAATCACTTTGAGTTAATGCCATTTGGTAGTGGAAGAAGAATGTGCCCTGGAATTTCGTTAGCCCTTCAAGTTTTGCCCTTTGTAATAGCAATGTTGCTGCAGGGGTTTGACATGAAGAGGCTTTCGGATGAACCAATTGATATGAGTGAGAGCTTTGGATTGACAGTGCTCAAAGCTTCTCCACTTGAAGTTCTCCTTGCTCCGCGCTTGGCTCCCGATCTTTATGAATGAAATGATAGACAAAATGTGTGCCTCATGCCACTGTTGTTTACTACTAGTTTGTAATATTGTAATGCAAATAATAACAAAACTTCAAAATTCCTATATTTGAAATGTGATTGTAAAAGTATTTTAGCAGTCCTAATGAACAACTACACCCTTTTGTGTTTGGGCACTTATGGCCCATTATTAGCAAGATATCAAAAAGAGAGTCCTAGTCGATTTTCTCGTGTAGAAATACTGTACTTCCTCACAAATAAGACATTCGTCATTGTAGATTTACTCGATATCAAATGTTGTTCAAAATATAAATGAGAAATTGGTTCGAGAACTTGATCATGAATATTACTGTACCTAGTAATTTGAATCTACAATTTAACGTTAAAATATATGATCAACGCATTTAATAATTTAAGATACTATTAAAGAGATAGAACATGGTTTTATTTTTTTAATATATTCTGTACCTAGTGGTTGAACTTGAGGCCACAGTTGTACATACATGTTTGGCATGTGTATATATATATATTCACTTAAAATTTGTTAATTCATCCTACCTCTCAAAAAGGCCAAGTTGTACTCGTGAGTTGGACAAGATGTGATCTCACATGGGAAGATATGAATATGATTTTCCTCTATTAAATGAATCGAGCTTAACGTACACACCTTGTATAATTTTAAGAGCTATTGCGTATAAGTGAATTTATTGGGTGCGTACATAAATCAAATCTGATTAATTACCTAATTAAAATAATCTTGAAGACCATGTGATATTGTAAAATTTGTATTGTATATAAGATTCCCTAGCTCCTTTCACAAACAGAGCAGAGCAGAGAAGCGATGGATATCCTTTTGATTGTTGTTACAGTAGCTGCTAGCTCCTTTATTCTTTTCTTCTTTCTTGGCAAAACACATAGTAAAAGTAGAAGAGTAGCTGAAGCTGGCGGAGCATGGCCTATTATCGGCCATCTCCACCTTCTGGGTGGATCCGACACAGATCAATTACCTCACAAAATCATGGGGCGCATGGCAGATAAGTACGGGCCAATTTTCGGAATGAAGCTTGGAGTTCATCAGGTTGTAGTTGTTAGCGATCACAAATTAGCCAAAGAATGCTTCACAACTAACGATTTAGCCCTAGCAGGTCGGCCTAAATTAATGTCTTCAGAGATCATGGGATACAAACAAGCCTTTTTTGGACTTTGTTCTTACGGTCCTTACTGGAGAGAAACAAAGAAGATTGCCACAATTGAACTTTTCTCTACTCGCCGAATCGAGATGCTCAAACACATCAGACAATTTGAGGTAAAATCAGGTATTAAAGAGATTCATAATAATTGGGCGAAGAACATGAATTTAAATGGTGTTGTGAAGATGGAAATGAAGGAATGGATTGGGGATATAGTTATGAATACTATCCAGAAAATGTTATTCGGAAGTAGTAACGAGGAAGAAGGAATAAATTATAAGGCTCACAAAGCAATTAGGAGATATTTCGAATTGGCAGGTGCTTTTGTTGTGGCTGATTATTTACCTTATTTAAGATGGCTGGATATTGGAGGCTATGAGAAAGCAATGAAGGAGGTTTCTAAAGAGATGGACTCTGTTGTTGAAGAATGGTTAGCAGAGCACAAAACGAAGAAGATTAAATCTGGTGAAGTAGAAGATTTCATGGATGTCATGCTTTCCATTTGTGAAAACAAACATCTGCCTGCATTTGATTCCGATACTGCTATCAAAGCCACATGCATGGTACGTACGTTTCTTCATTATCTTCTAAAACCTACCTACTATTTCAAAGAAGATTGCTGAATATCATGTTGAATTTGTCAGGGTATACTATCGGCAGGTACAGACACCACAATCGTAACTTTAACATGGATTTTATGTTTACTCTTAAATAACTACGAAGCACTTCAAAAGGCTCAAGATGAGATAGACGCTCATGTTGGCAAGAACACATGGGTCCAAGAATCGGATATTAAAAACTTGGTTTATCTTCAAGCTATTGTCAAAGAAGCATTACGTTTATATCCAGCTGGACCGCTCTCTGTACCACACGAGTCAATGGAGGATTGTGTTATTGGGGGATACGATATACCAAAAGGCACTCGCTTATTAGTGAACTTATGGAAGATTCATCACGATCCTAATATATGGAAAAATCCTCACGAGTTTAAACCAGAGAGGTTCTTGACGACCCACAAGGATGTCGATGTAAGGGGCAATCACTTTGAGTTGATACCATTTGGTAGTGGAAGAAGAATGTGCCCTGGAATTTCTTTGGTCCTTCAAGTGGTGCCCTTTGTAATAGCAATGTTGCTGCAGGGGTTTGACATGAAGAGGCCTTCAGATGAACCAATTGATATGAGTGAGAGCTTTGGATTATCAGTGCTCAAAGCTTCTCCACTCGAAGTTCTCCTTGCTCCGCGCTTAGCTCCCGTTCTTTATGAATAAAATGATAAAAATATTTGTGCCTCATCCCACTGTTGTACACTACTAGCTCGTAATATTGTAGTGCAAATAATAACAGAACTTCAAAATTCCTACATTTGAAATGTGATTGTAAAAGTATCTTTGGAGCCCTTACAATGGGAATTTCAACTTGTAACTGTGACATTAGGCCTATATATTACCTTCTCAAAAGAAGTCATGAGGGTTTAGAAAGCAATTTAATAAAAGGAGAAACTACTTTGTTACATAAACATTCTTTTATCATATTTGCTAATTATCTCTATAATTTGAAATAAATATATTTTATCTTACTATTTAATAATTTCATATCAGATTTTAAGTCAGATACATGTGAATCATACTAGATAAACACTATGAGAGTGGTGAGCGAGATGGGAGGGAGGCGAAAGAGATATGAGCATGGTGAGCAAGATAAGAGAGAGGCGGACGAGATTTATCTATTATACTAGATACATGTGAATCAAACTAGATACACACTATATACAAGTATCCGGTGTGATTCACATGTATTTGGGATACCAGATATGCGAGCGAGATATATATGAGAGTGGAGAGTGAGATGGGAGAGAGACCAGCGAGATTTGTCTATACATTCATGATACATGCGAACCCATTTGGATACAATGTATATAGAAAAATTACACCTAATTTTGAGTTCGTTAACCCTAAATACATGTATTTTGATGTATTTGGACACACCAAAATCTGATAAAATCCATAATATTGCAAACTATCATATATCTAAGTAATTAACTCTTAAACTAGTGGAATTTATGTACGTTGCCTTTAAAAAAATGAACAAGCTATTGGGTGCAATTGTTGTTGGTACATTATAGGTAGGACATGAGGAAAAATGATTATTGTTTAAAGTTCGAGAGTGAAATTAATTTTTTAAATAATTTTAAAATGACAATAATATTATTTTTTATTTAAGCAAATAAGATGATTTTGTAATTTGTCTTGAAAATCTATACAATTTTTTTTGTGTTATTCGAACTAACATAATTTAATCCTTGTCCTTAATTTGAATGAGTTACAGAGCTAATGCATTTTTTTGGCTTAATACAAGGTCTTGTCATTCCCTCAACCCCACCAACAGTTGCACGATGTCTTTGTTTCTACTAACTCGTGAATTGATCGTTTTCCTTAGAAAAAACGTTTGTGTTCTGAACCTACTAATTCATGGTAGTGAATAGGAGATCCACCTTCATCTTTATTTGTTTCGATCGAAAAAATAACTCGAAGTGACATGTCAGTTAATGTATATCAAGTAATTTTGTTTTTATTTAAAAAAAATTGCAAATTGAACGAAAATATCAACCTATTTCATTAAATACTAGTCACATCGTTAGGTACTATTATGCAATTGATTTGCAAACTTAAGGTACTACTGCCTTTATTTCCACCCAGCTGGAGGAACCATTTCTGACTTGTCCTTCCCTAATTGTTTTTATTGAGCTTGTCTTCGTTTTCTCATCCGAGTAATTTTCCTAGATAGTTATTCATGTCTAAAAAATTACCTAATAATATTATTTTTGTTTGTTTTGGGACTATAATATCACTCAATTTTGAATATTTTTCTCAAAATATATTTGACACAAAAAGACATCCTTCTCTCTCATAATGAATGGCATGTCATATTATTCCATTTTTACTAATAATTAAAAAAAAACTTTTTAAATCAACCTAATATGATATACTCGGTAAAAATAACAATTACATAACGCAAAGTGAACATTTTTAAACAAACACATATTTATTTTTTGTTATTATGATTAACACTAATTATTTGTTCTAAATCATTTTTCAAATCATTCATTCTTTAAGTTGTTATAGAATGCGCAAGGTGAATATTAAAAGCAAGTAAAAGTAAAGAAAAAAAAGTGATGTTAAAGAACAATTTTCACGTACTCAAAAAAAAATCAAAAGCATTATATTAACGTTATCTTTTTACGGATTTTTTTCTAGCAACTATTCCCTATGTCCATTTTTATTTATTCATTACACTATAAATAACTATTCATTTGTTACTTGTTTATTTTAGAAAATCAAATGATAATTTATTACTTAATTCCTAATTCACTGTTATTATTAATTATAGTCATTTGTCAATGCTTTTTTTAAATATAAATTTATTATTTTCAAAGATTGATATAGTAAAATTATCTTTATTATTATATCAAATTAATACAGGACAAGTACAGATGTAAAGATGGATGGAAGGTGTAGAAACTAAATTTCTCAGTTAAAAAAAAATTATTTTAAAAAATGAATAATATGATATGACATTCCATTAAAACTGTGCACTTTGCATATTCTTTAAGAAATTAATGAATGAATGAATTGAGAAATGATTTTAGAAAAATAATTAATGTTTAATGTAATAATAGAATAAAAAATGCTTATATCTTAATATGCTAAAGTAAAAAAATGATAAATGATAAATGATAAATAGTCAAGATTTTTTTTTACTGAATATAACATATGTGACATGGCATCTCAATAGAAGAGAGAATAATGTTTTTTCTTTGTCAAGTATATTTGAGGAAAATATGCAAAGTTGGGTGATATTGTAGTCCTAAAACAAACATAAGTGATATTACTCGGTAATTTCTCAAACACGACTATCTAGGGAAATTACTCTCTCTTTTGACTACTAATAAATCTAATATTTGAGTTTTTTTTTTTTTTATATATATATATATATATATATATTAAGATTTAAAAAATATAAAACTATCAATTATAGGAGATCATGTACATTCTTTTTTTTCTTCAAATTATCAACTCATGGTTATCTTTAAAAATGGTGTTTAGTTTAATTTGAATTACAATACTTCATTAGGATTTAGTAAGGTAAGGTCTAGTCTCCCTTGTTTGTGAATGAAATAATGCTCATAAAATTTGTGCCTCATGCCACTGTTGTATGCTACTAGTTTGTAATATTGTAGTGCAAATAATAACAGAACTTCAAAATTCCTACATTTGAAATGTGATTGTAAAAGTATTTTTGGAGCCCTTACAATGTAACTGTGACATTAGGCCTATATATTACCTTCTCAAAAGAAGTCATGAGGGTTTGGAAAGCAATTTAATAAAAGGAGAAACTACTTTGTTACATAAACATTCTTTTATCATATTTGCTAATTTTCTCTATAGTTTGAAATAAATATATTTTATCTTACTATTTAATAATTTCATACCAGATTTTAAGTCAGATACATGTGAATCACACTAGATACACACTATATACATGTATCTGGTGTGATTCGAACGAATCTGGGACACCAGACACGTCAGCGGAATATGAGAGTTGTGCGCGAGATGGGAGGGAGGCGAAAGAGATATGAGCATGGTGAGCAAGATAAGAGGGAGACGGACAAGATTTATCTATTATACTAGATACATGTGAATCACACTAGATACACACTATATACAAATATCTGGTGTGATTACATGTATTTGGGATACTAGATATGCGAGCGAGATATATATAAGAGTGGAGAGTGAGATGGGAGAGAGGCCAGCGAGATTTGTCTATATATCCATGATATATGCGAATCCACTAGGATACAATGTATATAGAAAAATTACACCTAATTTTGAGTTTGTTATCCCTAAATACATGTATCTTGATGTATTTAGACACACCAAAATCTGATAAAATTCATAATATTGCAAACTATCATGTATCTAAGTAATTAACTCTTAAACTAGTGGAATTTATGTACGTTGTCTTTAAAAAAATGAACAAGTTATTGGGTGCAATTGTTGTTGGAACATTATAGGTAGGACATGAGGAAAACTGATTATTGTTTAAAGTTCGAGAGTGAAATTATTTTTTAAAATAATTTTAAAATGACAATAATATTATTTTTTTATTTAAGCAAATAAGATGATTTTGTAGTTTGTCTTGAAAATCTATACAATTTTTTTTGTGTGTTATTTGAACTAACATAATTTAATCCTTGTCCTTAATTTGAATGAGTTACAGAGTTAATGCATTTTTTTGGCTTAATACAAGATCTTGTCATTCCCTCAACCCCACCACCAATTGCACGATGTCTTTGTTTCTACTAACTTGTGACGAGAGGGAGTTGTTCGGATGGTAAGCACCCCTCACTTTCAACCTAAAAGTTGCGAGTTTAAGTCACCAAGGAAGCAAAAGGGGTGGGAGCTCCTAGGTAACATAAAAAAAAAACTTTTGTGTTCTGAACCTACTAATTCATGGTAGTGAATAGGAGATCCACCTTCATCTTTATTTGTTTCGATCGAAAAAATAATTCGAAGTGACATGTCAATTAATGTATATCAAGTAATTTTGTTTTTATTTAAATTTTTTGCAAATTGAACGAAATTATCAACTAATTTCATTAAATACTAGTCACATCGTTAGGTACTACTCCCCCCGTTTCAAAAAGAATGGCTTCCTTTCTTTTTTAGTCTGTTTAAAAAAGAATGACTCATTTCCTTTTTTGGTAACATTTTACTTTCAACTTTCCAGGTGGCATGTTTAAGACTACAAGATTAAAGGACAATTTTATATATTTGACATAACTTTAATTTAGGGCCACAAAATTCAAAAGTCTTCTTTATTTTCTTAAACTCCGTGCCAAATCAAACTAGGTCATTCTTTGTAAAACGGAGGGAGTATTATGCAACTGATTTGCAAACCTAAGGTACTACTGCCTTTATTTCCACCCAGCTGGAGGAGCCACTTCTGACTTGTCCTTCCCCTAATTATTTTTATTGAGCTTGTCTTCTTTTCTCATCGTCTAGAGTAATTTTCCTAGATAGTCATTATGTTTGGAAAATTATCTAATAATATTATTTTTATTTGTTTTAGGACTATAATATCATCTAACTTAACATATTTTCTTCAAAATATACTTATACAAAAAGACTTCTTTCTCACTCCTAATGAATGACATGTCATATTATTCCATTTTTACTACTGTAATAATTTTAAAAAAAAACTTTTTAAATCAACGTATATGTATAAAAAGTTAAAATGACAATATTACCATATAATTGTAAAAAAATGTTATAGTTTACAAAATATATAATTTTACTAATTTTTAATATAAAAAACAAACATCCAAAGAAATAATTTTTGCATAACTAAACTTCGCATAACTAATACCTACATATTAATACTTGCATAACTAATATCCGCATTATTAATACATGTATAATTCTATTCAACTAACAAACTACCCTTGTTTCATAATAGGAAATTTTTCCAAAATCAAATTAGGAAATTACTCATCTCTTTTTCATCTGACGTTCTGAATATAAATTAGCATCAATCAGATCAACGAGTATCTTCCCCAAAGTAACTAGCTCCTTTCACAGAGCAGACATGGATTTATTTTTGATTGCCGTTACAGTAACTTGCTCATTGCTTGTTTTCTTCTTTCTTCGCAAACAATTTTTCACAGATAAATCAGAGCGTAGAATTAGAACAGTACCTGAAGCTGGCGGAGCATGGCCTATTATCGGCCATCTCCACTTCCTCCGTGGATCGAAAACTGATCAATTGCCTCACAGAACCTTAAGCCGCATGGCAGATAAGTACGGATCGATTTTCGGAATGAAGCTTGGAGTTCATCAGGTTGTAGTTGTGAGCGATCCCAAATTAGCCAAAGAGTGCTTCACAACAAACGATTTAGCCCTAGCCGGCCGGCCTAAATCAATGGGTTCAGAAATCATGGGCTACAAACACGCCATGTTTGGACTTTGTTCTTATGGTCCTTACTGGCGAGAAACAAGGAAGATTGCCACTGTTGAACTTCTCTCCAATCGGCGAATCGAGATGCTCAAACACATCAGAGAATTTGAGGTAAAATCAGGTATTAAAGAGATTTATAATAATTGGGCGGCGAAGAATAATTTAAATGGTGTTGTGAAGATGGAGATGAAGGAATGGTTTGGGGATATAGTTATGAACACTATGGGGAAAATGTTATTCGGAAAAGGGCGAAGGAGTAATGAGGACGAAGGAATAAATAATGCTCACAAAGCAATTCGAAGATTTTTCGAATTATTAGGAGCATTTGTTGTGGCTGATTTTTTACCTTATTTAAGATGGCTGGATATAGGAGGCCATGAGAAAGCAATGAAGAAGGTTTCTAGAGAAATGGACTCTGTTGTTGAAGAATGGTTAGCAGAGCACAAAACGAAGAGAGAAATTATAAAATCTGGTGAAGCAGAAGAAGATTTCATGGATGTCATGCTTTCCATTTGTGAAAACAGAGGTCTGCCTGAATTTGATGCCGACACTGCTATCAAAGCCACATGCATGGTACGTTTCTTTATTCACTTTTTTCATATTTTTAACTTTATTTTATTTCATATTATTTATTTACTGTATTTTATTTGAAATAATATATTGTATCATCATATATATATATATACACACAAATGCACGAAATTTACCATCCACATTTCATTTAAATGTAGATTAGATTTGATGTTTGTCAATAACGGACAAGAGTTTGCACGATAAATTTTTCTCAATATAAACTTCATATTGTATTTGTTCTATCTGTTGTGATACCAATCTCTCTTCTTATACGTTAGTTAACTAAATCAAAGATGTACACGTGTGTTTGATATGAAGAAAAATATTTTTATATTTTTTTCATTTTGGTGGGTTTATTTGTTCGTGTATGTGTATATTTAAATTTCACATCTATCATAATTGATATTATCTATATAGATAAATGAGTTTTAATTGTCATTTACAAAATATAATTTAATTATTATTTAAAGTTTACTTATCCTATAAATAGGTAATTTTTAAAATTTATTATAAAGTCCACTATTATTTTTGTTAATTATTTTTTGTATTACGTGATTAAAACATATTTATAAAGTTATAGCTCATTGTTATTTCACTTGTCTACATGATGTATATTAGAGTTTTAATTATTATTAATTAAATTATGTTTTCTTATCTTGCTTATTTATTTCAGTATTGAACATTATCAATTTATATATACTCAATTAGTATTTCAATAGAATTGATAATATACGGTTAGTATAAGTATCCAAAAAATTAATGGACAAATGTATACATATATTGCTTTTGAAAAAGAGAAGTAAATGTGTCAAAGTAGTTGATTTTAAAGTATTAAATATTTATTACATTAAAAAAAGTTTAGGATAAATTAGTGAGTAAATTTCTCATTTATAATTTTTAAAGGCCGTCTAAAATGAAAATGTGACAACTAAAATAGGATGAATATAATATATATATATATATATATATATTACTAAAATAATTAACAAAATGTATAAAACTACTCATAATACTTCATAAATAACTCTACAACTATTAAAACTCTTCAATGACTACAATTTTGAAAGGGGTTAAATTAATTAAAATAGTGACAATTTCTATGTCGCAACTAATTAAATTTTTCAGCTATATTTTAGTAGGATTATTTGTGGCGACGGTGATTAACTCGCTACTAATATCTAATCTTTCGTGGTGAAGATCGCCGCTAAACTTATACATTTTGTGGCAACACTTATTTGTCGCCGCTAATTCATCTAATTTTGTGGCGATAAGATAAGTCGCTATGAAAAGACATCATAAAAGCTCTGATTTCTTGTAGTGTCACTAATAATCTATTGATTGTGTGAAGCTGATTGGTGAATGTGTTGAATTTTTTATAAGGGTGTACTAGCGGCAGGTACAGACACCACGATCGTAACTTCAACATGGACTTTATCTTTGCTCCTAAACAACTATGAATCACTAAAAAAGGCCCAAGATGAGCTAGATGCTCACGTTGGCAAGAATAGATGGGTCCAAGAATCGGACATCAAGAACTTGGTTTATCTTCAAGCTATTGTCAAAGAAGCATTACGTTTATATCCGGCTGCACCGCTCGCAGTACCACACGAGTCGATGGAGGATTGTACCATCAGTGGCTATGATATACCAAAAGGTACTCGCTTATTAGTGAACATATGGAAGATTCATCACGATCCTAATATATGGCCAAATCCTCACGAGTTTAAACCAGAGAGGTTCTTGACGACCCATAAGGATGTGGATGTAAAGGGCAATCACTTTGAGTTGATACCATTTGGTAGTGGAAGAAGAATGTGCCCTGGAATTTCTTTGACCCTTCAAGTGGTGCCCTTTGTAATAGCAGTGTTGCTGCAGGGGTTTAACATCAAGAGACCTTCAGATGAACCAATTGATATGAGTGAGATCTTTGGATTGACAGTGCTCAAAGCTTCTCCGCTTGAGGTTCTCCTTGCTCCTCGCTTGGCTCCCGTTCTTTATGAATGAAATAATGCTGGAAAAAATTGTGGATCATGCCACTGTTATATTGAAGTAAAAACTATAACAGAACTTCAAATTTCCTACATTTGCAATGTGATTGTAAAAGTATTTTTGGAGCCCTGCAATGGGAATTTTAAGTATTTCAACTATATACATGTATGTATCTGGTGTGATTCACATGTATTTGAGATACGAGATATGAGAGTGGCGAACGCGAGTGAGATTTGTCTATGTATCTCATATACATGCCAATTCACTTGCTAGAACAAATTACACCTAATTTTGAACCATGTATCTCGAGATACATGTATTTGGACGCACCAGATTTATTCATATATTGCAAACAAGTGCGAATCTAAGTAATTATCTCCTAAACTAATGAGATTTGTGTAAATTACCATTTAAACAAATGAACAAAGTTATTGTGTGCAATTGTTGCTGGTACATTAGGTACGGCCTGAGGAAAACTGATTTTTTGTTTAAAGTTTGAGAGAAAGATTAAGTTTTAAAAAGGTTTAAAATGACAATAATATTTGTGAACACAAATAGCCCAGAGGCTAGACAAGTTGTTGGGCCCAAGGCTGAAAACCAGGAAGTGGCCCAAGAATAAGACAGCCCAACAATAGATTTGCTTGGGATCCATATATTGTGAAAGAAGTTGTTTGATCCTCTCATCTCTTTCTAGACAAGTTTCTTATCCCTATTCTTAACTCTAGCTTTAGTTACTTGTTATTTCTGTACTTTCTATTGTAATTCAATAGTTAAAGTGTTGCCATTGTAATTTAGCTATCGGTAGAGATGGAGTTAAGTGGGGGTTCGTGGGTTTGGATGAACCCTGTAGCTTTTCCGTAGATCCTGTATTTGTAATAGAAAATTAAATAAATATATATGTATATTAATTTGTCAACCCCCTAATAAAATTGATTGACGGCTCAATAGTAAAGAAGGGGTGATTGTAAATGTTTTCCACACTAGTGTTCTGGGTTTGAAAAATATTTTTCTCCTCTGTTCTAAAATTTAGAACCCCCAAACACCTAATCCTGATTCCGCCTCTAGCTATCAATGCTTTTATAATACTTGAGTATTTGTGTTGAGAATTCAGGTTCGTTACAATAATATTTTTTATTTAAATTAATGAATCATGATTTTGTAATGTATCTAGAAAATCTATATAAAATCTTTTTTTGTCATTTCCGAACTAAAACAAATTCAAACCTTGTCCATTGAATGAGTTACGGAGCTTTTTTTGCGCATAATACAATGTCTTGTCATTCCCTCAAGCCCACCAACAATTTCACGTTGTCTTTGTTTATGTGTTAATTTGTGAATTGATCTTTTTCTTTTTTTAAAATGTTGTGTTATGGACCTACTGATGAATCATGTTAGTGATAAGGAGAGCTACCTTCATTTTTATTTATTTCAATTGAAAAAATAACTCCTAAGGGAACAAAAACGTCAATCTATTTTATTGATCACTAGTCACGTTGATAAGTACTATTATGCAATTGATTTGCAAGCTCGCAAGGTACTACTGCCTTTGTTTCCACCCAGCTGGAGTGGAGCCACTTCTGTCCTGTCCTTCCCCCTATTATTTTTTTAAAGCTTGTCTTGTTTTCTCTTCTTCTCTTTGACTACTAATAAATCTTTTTTTTTTTTTTTTTTTACTACTAATAAATCTAATATTTGAGTTATGTATATTAATATAAAGATAAAAAATAAATAAATTACACTATCAATTATAGCAGATTATGTACATTCTGTTAGGGTTTTGCCCTGATTTCCTTATTTTATTTGAAGTTTATATTTTCCTAAAAGAAAAGACAAAACATTACCATAAATGTTTTTACTTTTCCGGAAAGGAAAATATAATATTCTTTCATATTTGGTTTATTCTTTCCTTAGAGGAAAAATTTGGAGATCTATAAATTGAAGATCCTTATTTTCATAGCATAACACAATAATATCCACAATGTAGACATTTAGAGAGTTTTGTTTATGTGGAGATTTTCTCTCTACAGTTTTTATGTTTTATTAGTTTTAATTATGTAGGTCAATTGGTCCTATCATATAATAATATTATGTCTTTTAGTATAGTTTTATGTGTCGTCTAATTTATCAACCATATTATTTGCAATTGTAAACTTCCGCATGACGTTCTAATCACCCTTCATAACCCAACACATTCTTTTTTCAAATTATCAACTCACAGTTATCGTTAAAATTCGCATTGTAAGCACTATCCACTTTAAAAAAAATTAAAAGGAAAGAAGATCCGAATAATGTCATGTTATCATATATAAGCATATATTACATCAAAATTTTGACGTTGTTTTCAGAATATTATAGAGTAAAAACTTATTCACACTAGTTTAATTAAATTAATGAATGTAAGACAAGTGTCTTGCATACATTTTTATCATTGAACCGTAGTTCTATTTATGTATTTTTGTTTTAAATTTTAATTTTTAAATTGATTAGTTCGATATAATTAAATATCCGATGTGAATAAGTGCTTATTATACTTTTACCACCATATGTATTACCACGTTATTTGTATTTTATTTTTTTTGTCTTCTTTCTCGTGATTATTTGAGGTTTTCTTTTGTTAGCTTCTGAATGACACTTGATTATTTCGATCCCAATAATTCATACATATGAAAACTTTGAAGAATTAGTAGGGATATTACGGCAGGTCGTTCAATTGGTTGATGGAAATGGTCGATCTCAGAGATAATGCAAAAGCATTGGGAAGAAAACCAAAATTAAACTTAGGAAGTGTTGGGAAAATAGGTGAGCTTTTATGACTTGCATTATGTGTTGACCCTTTCATGGCCAGGCCAGCTTGCCCTCCATGTGATTGATACCACATTTCCAATAGTATAATGGCCCATGGGTGGGATGTAGAGTTGCTTATGGATTCATCTAAACTCAGTTATTTTGATTCGGAAGTTAGATCTAACTATAAATTAAAAATAACAAGAGATAAAGTACAAATAGTTTATTTTAATAACCAATAATTATATTTCGATTTAAAATTTCACTTGAAATCATAAAGTTCAAATCATGAATCAGTCTTGACAATGAATTTTTGAAGCTATTTGCTCTCATTCATGATTTCTAGGTTAAGAATTGTTCAAAATCATACGAGGAATTAATTACTCATTCTTTGTTTATTCAACATGAAACTCTTTAGTATTTGACCTCACGTCCATGAATGAACATCTGGAGTATAGACAATTTAATATGAAAGTTCGTCATTGGTAAATAATATTTTGCTCTGATAACATATAAATACATGAATCTCTAGCTTAACTAACTTCAAAAGTTAGTTGATGAGAGAAAAACTATCCAACACTATATAAGGAGATCAAGTATGGCTATTTTGTGTTCGAATTCTAACCACTCATCTCTTTTTCATCCGATCTGACACTCTTCAACACAATGGGTTGAAATCTGAAGTCTTCATGGTAAACGATTAGGAGTAATTAGTTAATTAATTATTACATGTTGCGTACAGAAGAGTACTTCACTAATTGAGATTTGGAATGTATATGATTTTTTCAAAAAAGATATTTAATTATGACTAGGATATTGATTGAGTAATAATTAAGTAGGAGAATGAAAGTCATGCATTAATTGCCTAATAAGTGTAATCACATGATTTTTTGTGTGACCTGAGCTAGCTGTCTTGAAAACAACATGGCATGCATGCCAATGCAATTGTTTTAATTTTTTTATTTTCTCTTACTCTAAAGTCTGAAATTATCAATTCTGATTTATTACTATTCATAGGGTATTTTTTTTTCTAACATAAATACAAATATACACTCTAAAAGTATTCTGAATCTTTAGTCCTCATCTGTTCATCTCAGCCCTACATTGTCCTCCACACATCATTTTCATGAACTTGTACTCCCAATTACCCCCTTTTGCTTGGCTGTTTATGTTTACACCCTGAGCTTTCATGATTCCTTCATATATACGCATATATTACTTAAAATGTTCGACCGTCATTTTTTATTTTTCGAGAGCTTTTTGTATGTCAATATGATAAACAATATATTATAGTAGTAATAAAAATTTACATAATTTGAATCTCGAAAAAAAATATTCATATCAATACTAGATAGAAGGAGAACAACATCTCAATCAGAATTGGGGGCACAAAAAAATTCATCGAAACTCCTACTATATAAAGTAGATTATGGATTGTGTTATCTTCTTCGTGTGCTTGCATTTCATAGTTGAATACTCTTAGTCAAAATCTTTTTATCTCCTACTATTAATCAATAGTTTAGAATGTTTTAGCAAATTATTTTACTCTGTTACAGTTTATTTATTCTTTTACCATAGAAATATAATTTTATACAATTCTCATTAATAGCTTTTGGTGACACTTCACATAATTAGACTCTAAAATTGGAATTAACTTACACTACAGTAATTTGAATTTGCACCTCATACGTCTACTTCAATTAATCATATTATATTTGATAATTTATTCATTTAGATTCATGCTACTTACCCTGATTATTAGTATACGATTTAATTTCCACTTAAAATCATTATCTTAATAGTTAGGTGAGATCAATAAAAATTGTGGTTGAGTGATAAATATTATTTCATTTTTAATTGGAGATCTTAGATTTGAATCTTCTTACTTAGGTATAGATTCGCATGTACTTTGGTCTTCATGTGGAATTTTCCTAAGCATAATCGAATTTAGTCGAGCTATAATATAGGTGACATCAGAAATGATATAATGAAAAATAAAAAAAATAGTTAAGCAAGTATTCCAAAATTAAAATCACAATCAAGCTAGCCCCACTTTTAGCTCCCCATACTATTTAGAGTATAGACCACAAAGCTCTCTTCTCCCGGCAAGTAGTTAACCAACCGCTCAACCTCAAAGGGAAATTTCTCTGCTTTCGCCGTAGTGTAAGCTTCACCGGTCGCCGGAATCTGACATCATACAATGTTCCCGCCAAAACCTCAACGCCGGACTCAGTCGATGCCACGTGGCATTTCTCCTAATCTGGCC